CCTAGGAAAGTTGCTGAATCAGAAAATACCTTGTATTTTTCACATTTTATGTTTTACTTAAACTTCATTTAGTAATCATGGTTTACATAATAAAAACTGTTCCTTTTAATGTGGTACCTTTATAGCTAGACAAAAATATCATTGGCAATGTATTGAATAATTTCATTAGATGACAAAATACATTATTTTATCACCCATCTTCCACTTTTTTGCCTGGTTTAAAGGGCATTATTTTTGTATTTAATTGAAGATATTGATTTTTTCCTATTTGAGAATGGGCTGTTGTGAAATTCAAGTCTTGGAATTTGCAAAGTCATCACATGCTTAAATACTAGCCTTATTTATTCACCTGAGAGTATTCCATTTCTATATGATTGATATTTGAATTGTTTGGTGATGACAGCAGCTGTGTCAAACTTTTAATCACATTCTTCTTTTTTTGAATTATCTGAAGTACAAACAAGAGGAAAATGTATAAGAATAGAGAATGTTTAGACCTGAACATTTATTAATTCCATTTATGTCTGAGTAAATTTGAAGACTTGAATGGGAGGGAGGCAGTGTACACTACCATAATTAAAGCAGGTTCCATTTGAGCCTCTTCTGACAGAGGACAGATAGCACAAATAGGTTTTTTTTTTTTTTTTTTTTTTTTTTTTTGCAATCTTTATGGAAATTTTCAAAGAGAATCATGCATGGCTTGCAAAATCAGGTTAATTAATCAATGTCCTTGGCACATTGTCAGTTTCAAATGTTAATAAATTAACTTTGTACTTCATTACAATTATATGAAGCTCAAGTGCTTTTTTTAATGAATCAGGAATAACTCTTTACTTTATACCCAAGTGCTATTTCTCAGTAGTCTCTTTTTGCTATATCACTTGAATATTCAAGTTTCTAATTTAGTTCAGTTAAAAAAAATTGATACCTGGAAATGATTTCTGTTTAATCATGGTCTTCAAGTCTGAGACCTGAGAACAGTGTGTATACAAAACTGAACACATGGAGTTGGTTTTTTAAAAAGACTTATTTATTTATTAGAGAGGTAGAGTTAGAGAGAGAGGGAGAGACAGAGAGGTCTTCCCTCTGCTGGTTCACCCCCAAATGACCACAATAGCTGCAGCTGGGCCAGGCCAAAGCCACGAGCCAGGAACTTCATCCAGGTCTCCCACATGGGTAGAAGGACCCAAGCACTTGCCCCATCTTCCACTGCTTTTCCAGGCCATAAGCGAAGAGCTGGATCAGAAGAGGAGCAGCTGGGACACAAACTGGCACCCATATGGGATGCCGGTGCCAAAGGTGGAGGCTTAACCTACTACACCACAGCACCGGCCACCTTTTTAGTTTGTTTTAACATAAAGAGTTTACAATGTTTTTTTGTTTTTTTTTTTTTTTAAGATTTTATTTATTTACTGAGAGGTAGAGTTGCAGACAGTGAGAAGAAGAGAGAGACAGAAAGGTCTTCCGTCCGCTGTTTCACTCCCCAAATGGCCACAACGGCCGGAGCTGCACTGATCCGAAGCCAGGAGCCAAGAGCTTCTTCCCAATCTCCCATGCAGGTGCAGGGGCACCAGGAATTGACCCATCTTCTACTGCTTTCCAAGGCCATAGCAGAGAGCTGGATTGGAAGTGGAGCAGCAGAATCTTGAACTGGTGCCCATATGGGATACCGGCGCCGCATGTGGAGGATTAACCTACTGCACCACAGCTCCGGCCCCTACAATGTGTTTTATTTATGCCTCACTCTGTGAGATTCTATACAGATAGAGAGTGTGATCTCAACTCTGAAGAACCTTCATCTTTGAGATTGTGAACAAAATTATGGCATTTTTCTTTTCAATTTCACTTTACTTTAAAATTTGTATTTCTGGGATTTCAGAAAAATCTTGGCTAAAATTAATTTAGAGAAACACAAAATCAATTTCGGCTATTAGTCCACAAGTATAACCTGAAGCTGTTATTCTTCCTATTGACATTGTGAGGAGCTGCCTTGAGACCTGATATAGCCTTTTATCAGCTGGGCCCACTGTTCTACACCTCCCCCAAGCCCATCCTGACTCAAGACAATATGCAAAGCATAGGCGTGTCCTCCTCTCTCCTTCCTCATCCCAGCCCCCGAGGTACTGGGCCACTTTGGCCCTTCGTTTTGATCCAAGATCAAGGGCCCCGGTGGGTTCCCACTCTATTATTTCAGTCCCACAGTGATCAGAAGAGAAACTCTGGGTCTCTTTCCCATTTTGCCCATTACACATATTTACAAACCCTCTCACACGTGAATGTTCACTTTGGTTCACACATATGTGCACTCACACACATCCCTCCTACAAGGCTCTGGAGGCATGAACTTCAAGTCTTCCATTTAATGTGACCTCAGGTTAAAAGGCGAGCTAAACAGAAGTTCAGTTAATTCATGCATATAATGGACTTTGCGCTTGATTGGACCTTTGCAAGGCTTAAAGAGCTTAATATGTAAAATGCTTAGCGTCACATCTAGGATATTGTAAATGCAGAATAAATGGTAACTATTACTAGCACCTTCCCAGTCAACCTTGAACTTCAAATAGCCCTGCCATTGGTCTCCATCAATGTGCCCTGGTTCTGTAATGGGGCTGCTTGTTCCTTTCCAAAAGTTGTTTTCTAGTATGTGCTTGATTCCTCACTCCCTGGTAAAACCTTTCCTTTGTGGGTACACTTCTCATGTTATCTGCCTGACTTAGCAAATAGGTGTCACTTGCTGCTTCTGCTGGTGGCCCATGATCGGAGCTATTTCCCCAGCACCTGTTGGCATTCACACAAGAGAGTCAAGGGCCTGGTCTTGGCCTCTTGTAACTATCTGGCCTCCCTGAGAATAGCCATGAACCACCAAGTCCCAAAATACAATCCCTTCCTTTAATGATGTAGTCAGAAGAGAACCTGCCATTCAAAGCTGTGTTTTTATTGATTAATAAATAAAGGGCCTGTAAGACTCAGAAGAGCAGAAAAACATCAAGCACAATAAACTTGTCCATAGAGTTTTGAGAATGGGATAATCGGGAATATTATCTCCAGAGGCTGTGAAAGCTAATTGTAGGTTCCTAATTTCTTATGAATTATAATTTATAAAACTGAAATTAACCCTTAAATTCTATTAAATGCAATCATATAATTTTGATGACTTAAAGGTGCTTTGTGATGTTAAAATAGCCCTTTCCTATCATTATACACCTCTAGATGAAAAATACTTCTCAATTGGACCTAATTTACATGAATGGGAGTGTACACCAGGTGCTTCTCAGTGTGGGTTGTTTAGGCCACCTGCCTGAGAAACAGACCTCACCCCAGATTCATCAGCTCTGAGCTTAGTGCTATGGACAGCATTAAGATAGCCATTGGCTGCTTCAACAAATCCCAAAAATACATTTAAAAACATATTTATGTGGGATTACCCATCATTTTAGTATGAGATTTTCCAAGGAAACATACAGATTATGGTCTTTGATCTCACCATTCTAACCTCAGAGTCAACTTGTCTAGATAAATTTTTAAACCCTTTTACCATCATAACTCTTTATAGAGTCTAATGGAGTACAATGATACATGTTTGATTCATTTGTAAGGGGGAAAATCAATAAAATGGATAACCTGAGGGATTAATTAAAGGGATGAATCAAAGATGAAGGTTTCCAAATAGAGTGTAAATATTTCTTGTGAGATGTATTTATGAGTCTGACATAAAGAGCAAGAGGAGGACAGTTTTATATTTACTAATAAATCTAACATGCTCTCACAATAGTCACACAAAATATATAAGTTGTGTGCCTAGAAAGACTAGATACAAGGGTCAATACATTTGAAGAACATGAATTTGGTCCTTAGAAACTTGAAATTTGATTTTGCCAACCTCCCACTTTGAAAATCCCAGCTCTCTACCTCTGTGGCTCTCCCCACATGCCTCCAACTTACTTTTCATTCCAAAATGTAAGAATTCATGAATGTCATGACAGCCACTTGAGAGTTATCAGGATCTCTGTCCTTAATGTGTTGTACTATGAGAATTGACAGTAAAACTACTACTCAAACAGTACTCTATACTTTTTGTGGCTGTGTGGGTGCAGTCTGTTGAAATCTTTATGTGGTATGTACTAAGTTGATCTTCTGTATACAAAGATGATTGAAAATGAATCCTGAGGAAGAACAGGATGGGAGAGGGAGTGGGAGACGGGATGGTGGTGGGAGGGAGGTTATGGGGGAAAAAGCCACAACAATTCAAAAGTTGTACTTTGTAAATTTATATTTATTAAATTAAAAAAGCAAAAAAAAAACATGCAAGAATCACAACTCTGAAAAAAAAAAGAAAGAAATCCATAGGAGGTAAATTTCATGGTCACTCCTATGATAGCTTTAGCCTGGAGCACAAACACTCGCTCATCTGGACAAGGAATATGGCTTTCTGATTTCAAGATGGGAGCAACTGAAATTGATATCATCCTGCTCATTAATAATTTTCAATATTAATAACCCTGTGGGTTCTTGCCACTTACTCAGACAAGAATTCTGAATAGTGGCTCAAATAGACCAGAAAACATGGTAATTTTTAAGCTTTTTATTCAGTGAGAGGAATGCCCAGGAATGTGAGGGCTTTCGTTAGGGAAGAGGGAGAAGTCTAGGAGCTAAGTTGGGTCCATACTAGGCAGAGAGCAGGCCAGGAGTGAGTCACATGGAGCAAACATATGGTTGTGAGCAGCCACAGGTAGCTTAGCACCGCAGCAAAGAGGAGGCATAAAGCAGGCCAATAGGCCATGCGTCCTGAAGGCATGGGGCAACAGGGAAGGGTCCACCTGTTCCAGGCCTTTTATTTATTCCCAAAGGGGGAGTGGTTATGTAGTCTAATAGGCAGGCGGGTATACAGGTGGGGTCAGGTAGAGGTATGAGATCACATGGTGGGGGGCAGTGGAGGGCATGGTCTCCAGCTTACAAATCTAATCGATTTTACCCTATCTGCCTGCCTATATCAAAATCAGGTGCTCTTCCATGGTTCTTACATCACATTGCCCTCTGTGACATCATAGTAAAATAAGCATGGAATTTCCCCTTGCGTGGAAATTTCCCCAAGCATGGACTCTTTTATGTGGCATAAAATGATGTAGCACATGACCACACCCAGAGCAGAATGTGCTGTGTCTGAGGGGAACTCACACCCTTGAGACAGGACTAAAAGGTAAGTAAAACGGTTTCATCATTTTCAAGGTGTCTTGCCCATGGTTTTGTGGGCAATTTTTGAGCCAAAATATGTTTTCATTTGTCAATGTTTGGCTATTACTCGGGATTCTCCAAGAAAAATGAAGATAGAAGAGAGAAAGGGAGGGAGAGAGAGAGAGAGAGAGGTGAGATCACAAGGAATTGGTTCACAGATTATGGAAGATGATAAATCCTCAGATGTGTAGTGAGTAATGTGGAAAACCAGGAGAGCTGGTGCTTCAGTTCCAGTCTGAAGGCAAGAAAAGTACCTGAAGATAGTCATGAGAAATTCCCCCTTGTTCAGGGTAGAGCCAGCCTTTCTGCTTTATTCAGGTCTTCAACTGGTTGGAGGAGGCCCATCCATATTGTAGAGGTCACCTGCTTTGTTCTGTCTGTTAAATTAAATGTTAATTTCAACCCCAAACACAGAAACATCAACAGTAATGTCTGACCAGGTATCTTGCGCACTCTGTGGCCCAGTCAAATTGAGACATAACCATTACAGTTGGTATCCCCAATTTTAAGCGATCTTTGGTAACCAAGTTCTTCAGTCTACTAAAAATCATGGCCACAGTTTCCATTGTGAAGCCTTCTCAAAATCAGATGCATGGTCAGGGTAGGTGAAGAGAAGTATCAGCACTGATACTGTGATGAGAAAGAGCTGAGTCCAGGACTCAGCACATGGAGGAGCCCTTGGCAATGGAGACAGTTAGGGGAGGCAAAGTTCCAAGCTGAAGGAAAGAAGAAATAATTGCAACCTTACCAGCTCCTCAGAATAGCCACAGTCTTCCCAAGTTTTACAACCACAATGACATGGAGACTAGATTAAGAAGCACAAATCACTACAGAATAACACTGACTTGTAATATTCTCACCAGGTGAACAGCCAAGCACTAACATCTCAGCCTTTATTGAGCATTTATTGAATGTAGGATTTGTATTGCCACTTTAAGGAGATTTAGGAAGTAGAAACGTACTGTGGTTTTATTTCTCAAGGGGTTTCTTATTCGCCAACACAATAGGACCAATAGCCCTCATATGTCTATGTCAGTTGTTAAGTACATTGAATTAATCACTCTTGGCATGTGCACAAACACTAATGGTAACACTTATTTATTTATAATGTGTCATGCAAATGATGCCCTACACCAACCACACAAATTAGGTTGTGACTCTTAGCTTCCTTTTTTAAAAGGAAGATAACAAGCAACCCCAATTCTTGTTATGCGGTATGGCCTTCAAATACATACCAAATTGACTTTTTGAACGACAAATGAATTTTGTATTCACACAAGTGTGTGTGTGTGTCGCAGGGACAGATAGCTATTCCCATTTCAGTAAAACATTATAAGAGTCCTAATAACATCTTGCCTTTTAGAAATAATCTTTGGGGCTGGCATTGTGGCATAATAGGCTAAGCCTCTGCCCATGATGCCAGCACACCATGTAGGAGCTGGTTCTATTCCCAATGCTTCTCTTCTGACCCAGATTTCTGCTATGGCTTGGCAAAGCAGTAGAAGATGGCCTAAGTACTTGGGCCCATGAATCCATGTGGGAGACCCAGAAGAAGCTCCTGGCTCCTGGCCTTGGCCTGGCCCAGCACAGGCCATTGCCGCCATTTGGGGAGTGAACCAGCAAATGGAAGACTTTTTTCTCTCTCTCTCCCTCACTCCATCTGTAACTCTACCTCTAAAATTTTATTCTAAAATAAATAATAAAAAATATCTTTAAAAATTAAAAAAGAAAGAATCTTCAACATGTATTTCCAGCATTTAACTCACTCACATCTGTATTTTAATTGTATTCTTTTCTTCTTAATTAATAGTCAGCCAGTTTAATTCATTAAGCTCCTAACTGAGGCTAAAAAGTCACTCCTGCAGCTCATTTTATGATCCCCTCAATTAATTATGTTGATGAAAACTGTGCTGATGTCTGATGCTGATGTCAATGCTTTCATTTCTCCCATTTACATTTGTTTTTGTAAAACTATTAGGGCAGAAGATATTGAAATATACAGGTAACTGCACAAACACTGCTAAGACCTCCAACCACATAACTCAAAATGCTTATCAACTGAGGATCAAAGTTAGAATTTTGAGAAAAGACAGATAGGAATCAATATGCAACCTATGCAAGAGGAGGTGCTCAAGTCTATATCAGGCAGGAATCAGGGCAGCCATTCTATGAGCACACCGTAAATTCAGCAGATCAGTCCATAGGTATTTAACTCTGTTGTTGAGAGAAGTATTCAGAAGTTGGGGTATGTTGACTCCAATAGATACATGTCCACTAGCCATGATTATTTTGAATGATAAGTACACACTAAAAACAAAATCAAAGCTGTACTTATTCCAGCAGATGTTATCAAAAATATCTATTTATTAAAATGGCAAAGAATCAAAACAAAGCCTTAACCTAGAATGGAACCCTACAAAAGAGGTTGTTAAAAGCATGCCTATCATTGGAAATTTAACTTAATAATCCAGTGATTCTCAAACCAGGGCTTTGGGCTAACCAGGGATGGGTGTTGGGGCACCCACTTAGAGCAACATACCTGCAATCCTACAAACTAAGTTATTACAAGTATACCTGCTATTGGAAATTTGACTTGTTAATCCAATGATTCTCAAACCAGGGCTTTAGGCTAGCTGGGGATGCGTGTTGGGGTATCCACTTAGGGCAACATAACTCAACTACATGGATGTGACAAGAATGAACACTATAAAGTTGTCTTTGCTTTCCTCTGTGTTTTTTTTTTTTTTTTTTTTGTCACAGATTTGTAACTTTTAAATAACGTTATGGAGAGTGTATTTTATGGTTGTCAAGGGGCTCTATACTAAGACTTGCTGAGAAAATACCACACTACTCCAATATACATCCCTATTATTAAACAGCAATGCTTTGGGTATGCTTCTGAGTTCCACATAAGCATAGGCAAATTTTATGCAATTTGTTGGATAAAGGCAAGAGTAACATGTCGTTTGTCAAATAATCTACTTTAAGGCTGGTTCTGTCCCCAAAAGATTCTTTAAATGTAGCAGAAATTTTACTCAGGCTTTGGCATGAGGACAGGATTTCAGAGGTTACAAGGATGAGAGGGAATTGTGTCAAACTGATAGGTACTCCGATTATTTTAAACCAATAGTGTGCTATTACAGTGTATTCTTTTTTAACGGGCTTTTTAGAAAATATTTATTTATTTATTATTTTTTACAGGCAGAATGGACAGTGAGAGAGAGAGACAGAGAGAAAGGTCTTCCTTTACCGTTGGTTCACCCTCCAATGGCCGCTGCGGCCGGCGTGCTGCACCGCGCTGATCCAAAGCCGGGAGCCAGGTGCTTCTCCTGGTCTCCCATGGGGTGCAGGGCCCAAGCACTTGGGTCATCCTCCACTGCACTCCCTGGCCACAGCAGAGGGCTGGCCTGGAAGAGGGGCAACCAGGACAGACTCCGGTGCCCCGACCAGGACTAGAACCCGGTGTGCCGGCGCCGCAAGGCGGAGGATTAGCCTAGTGAGCTGGGTGCTGGCCTATTTATTTATTTAAGAGGCAGAGCTACAGAGACAGACAGGGAGGGAGGGAGAGGGAGAGAGAGAGTCTTCTATCTGCTGGTTTACTCCCCAAATGGTCACAACTGCAGGAGCTCAGCCAATCTGAAGCCAGGATCCAGGAGCTTCTTCCAGGTCTCCCACGAAGGCACAGGGGCCCAAGCACTTGGGCCATCTTCCACTGCTATCCCAGGCCATTAGCAGAGAGCTGGATCAGAAGAGGAACAGCCGGGACATGAACCGGCGGCCATGGGGGATGCCGGCACTGCAGGCCAAGACTTAACCTCCTATGCCACAGCACAGGCCCCTGTGACAGTGTATCCCAAACAAAGCCACTCACACAGGTTGGAAGTAGGTTGGAAGTAAGAGAGCTTCCATTTGATAAACACCAAAACATCACTCCAGAGTCATAAATATTTATGCATCTTTCCCTGCCAGGGCTTCCTGATTTTTCTCTTATTTTTACAGTTTGCTTTCCCCTTGTGATGCCATCCATTAACTACTGAATCTTACCCCTCTTGCCTTTCCTCTCATCGCTCCAGCTCTGCATTCCTCTGCACGTAAGATACTCCTGGAGAGACAGAAATGGAGCCATTATTCCTTTATTTCCGGACACCCTGGGACTGAGAAGTTTGCTGTATCCTGGTGGTCATGCCAGTACCCGCAGCCCCCACTCATTGAGCTGGAGGCGGCACAGAGAAGCCACAGACTTGAGCAGAGCCGTCCTGCCCTCAACCTCATTATGCACCACCCTCGAGGCTGCATGTGCAAAACCAGATGGTCTGGCGGCAAAGCTGCAGATGCCAATCAGGTACTCTATTGGCAAACAGGCTCGCTAATCAAGCCCCTTTCAAGCGACATCTGCTTCCCTCTCCCTACAGGTATGGGGAATGCTTCAAACCCTTCTGCACATTTCCTGTGGCACTTGGGATCTGACAACACCTGCACACAGCCCTGCTCCCGGCGTGAGGCGGGCCAGCCAGGCTGAGCGACAACGGCAGGCAGCTTTAGCCCAGAGTCTCCTAAAAGACGCATAGAAGGTTTCTTTGTGTGTGTGTGGAGCTGAAGTCTGAGAAGGGGACGTTGTGAGGCAGAACAGGGCAGCGCCATAAATTTGTGTGGTGTACGTGCTGCCTTTCCAACCATTTCTAGGCCTGACACAAGCGATTTGAAACCTTTGGCTTGGATAGCACTCGCCCTGAGGTGTGTGTGTTTCAGGGTGGCCACTTGTTCTTCATCCCGCTGACAGAGCCCGACATTCCCACAGCTGCTGGCCGTGATAAACCCTAACGGTCCACACCAGGGCCCTGGTGAGTTCCCCGCTCCGCACGGGTTTTTCTTTAAGCCAGCCAATGCACGGGATTAGAAAGCCCAGGGTAACACCCCCGGCCCTTAATAAAGGCCTCCTGCTCCTCCTTGGCGGCGGGCTGAGCTCCCTGCGGTTTCTGGATTTCTCACGGGCTCCCCTCTCCTCTCTGCAGTCTGTAAGCAATAGGCTTTTCCTGTTTTATGCACTGTCTCGCGTGACCCTCTGCCTACACCGAACTTTTCCCCGGTCACGGCTCTGCGCGAGGGCAGCTCTCGCGGCTTGTGGCCATTGCTAACAGAGACCTCAAGACCAATGAGAAAGAAATCCTATCAAGAGAAATCAAACTAGGCGTCAGCAAGGACTGTCTTTGCCTCTGCTGTCATAGAGGCTGACCCAGTAGCTTAAGCGAAAGAAAACAACGCTGGTAGGACGGAAGGTAATGCAGGAGTGGGTACCAGTTCGCGTGAGGTTCAAGGACAGGTCACACCAATCTCCAGTTACAGAAATCGGAGCAGTCGCTGCTTCTGTGGAGTGGGGGCAGGCTGGAGAGAAGAACGTTCTGGATCTTACCTGGGCTGTGCTTACATGGAGATACAGGACTGTCCAAGCTCATCAGGCTGAAGCGCACTTAAGACCTGCGTGTTTCAATGTGTGCCTGCTTTATCTTAGAGGGAAAAGAAAGAGGACCAGTCTTTAAAACGTAGTCCCGAGTCTCAAACCCTTCCATGAAAAGAGAGAATGACGTTTTCTCAGAACCTTTTCCTGCCCAGTGCACACTGCCACTGCCCATGTTCTTAGATAGCCACTTTCCTTGTCTCTTTTTACAGCACCTTACCCAAGTTCGTAATACAAATTGCTGGCCTATTTTTTATTTCCCTCAGTTAATTCTTAAATTGAGAATGAAGGCTTCTTTCACCATTTGTTTATGGTTGAGCACAATGTCTGACACATAACAGATAAGTGATAAATATTCATTAAAAGGCAGGAAGGATGATGAGAAGCTAAAATCAAGTCCCTGTGTTGGCCCAGTGGAAGAAAGGCACCCTCCAGCCTCACTCCAGGTCCCATCTTTATTTCATTGTAGTCCTGTGGATATTTTCAGCCTGATGAAGACAAACACTGCCAGGCAGTAAGCATGCTATCAAATGACCATAATTGAAACACTGTATTATAGACAGCAGGGTTATAGAAGTATGGATACACATGATGCTTTTAAGTCGTCTCAGAAATAGCAATCACTTCAGTCATTCTTTTTTTAATTGTAATTGACAGGCACTAACTACATATTTATGGGATACAGTGTGATGTTTTGATAGGTTTACAGTGTGGAATGATTAATTCAGGTTAATTAAGAAATATATCACTTCACTTTTTTGTGGTGAAAACATTTAAAATCTCCTTAGGCAGTTTTGAGATTGTAAAGTCATAAATCATTAGCCAGAGCAAATCACATGGTCAAGATTGATATGAATGTTGGCATTGTGGTTAGGACAATTTATCAGTGCATGAATTTTTTCTATGTGTGAATTTATAAAGATACTAGGAATGTCTTGTTAAAGAAATCAGGAAGAAACTTGTTAATCACATAAATGCAAATTTAGTTTTTAAAAGATTTAGAAAATATGCCTGTGCCAAAATGTTCACCACATATTATGGTTACATCTAAGAGATATCATAAGTGTTTACTGATTGTTTTCTCAATTTTAAAGTTTCATTTAGGAATAATTGAGCTTCCATAAACCTCACATGTGATTAAAGTATGTAAGTTTTGACACATGGACATGTGAGTAACCCACCAACACAATCAAGATAATGAAAGTGTGTGTTACATCAGAAGTCAACCCTTGCCCCTCAAAATCCATTACTCCCTGCCTCACTCCATTACCATTCAAAGGCAAATGCAACTGTATTTTTTTGTCACTATGGTTCTTTTGCATTTTCAGAATTAATTTGAATGGATCACAAATCATATCATTTTTTGGTCTAGCCTTTTTTAATCAGTATAAGTGTTTTAAGATTCACTCATGGCGTAATATGTATTAATAGTTCATTCCTGTGTATTGCTGAATACTATTCCAGTGTGGGTATACCACAATTCATTCTCCATTATTTTTTAATTTGTTTTAAAGCACAAATTGACATATTATAATTGTATACATTTATGGGGTACAAAGTCATATGATTATAGAGTAACCTAATTAACATAGCTATCACTACAAATACTTGTTTTGTGGTAAGCAAATTTGAAAGCTCACAGTGATTTTGAAATCAGTCTATTATTTACTGTATCCCCCACACTGTTCAACCCATCTCAAAGGAAAAAAACCTCATCCTGACTGAGGCTTGGTACCATTTGGCCATCCCATTTGACCCTATTGCCCCCAGCCCCCAGCTCTGAGAGCCACCATTCTGCTCTTTGCCTCCCTGTGTTTGACTGGCTTCTGTTTCACATGTGAGGAAGAACATGCAGTATTTCTTTCTGTGCCTGGTGTCTTTCACTTAGCATGGTGTTCTCCAGTTCCACTCATATTGTCAAATGATAAAATAGCTTCGTTAAAACTGAAGATAGTTCTTTTGTGTATGCATATCTAGTATATTTTCTTCATCCATTTATCTGTCAATGAACTGTTAGGTTTATTCCATTTTTTTTTGGATATTGTAAATAATGCTGGAATGAGTTCTCTCTCTCTTTTATTTTTAAGGATTTTTTTTTTTTTTTTATTTGAAGGCAGAGTTAGAGATCTTCCATCTGTTGGTTCACTGCCCAAATGGCCGGGTCTGTGCCAGGCTGAAGCCAGGACTTTGGAACTCCATCCTAGCCTGCCACACAGGTGGCAGGAGCCAAAGTGCTTGGGCCATCTTCAGCTGTTTTCCCAGGCCATTAGCAGGGAATTGGAACTGAAGTGGAGCAACCAGGATTCTGGTTGAAGCTCTCATGGGATGCTGGCCTTCCATGTGGCAGCTTAACCCATTGTACCATAACTCTGGTCCCTACGGATACCTCTTTGACCTAGCTATTTTAAATCTTTTGAGTAGGGGCTGGCATTATGGTGTAATAGGTTAGGCAAAGGCCTGCAATGCTAGCATCCCATATGGGCACTGGTTCAAGTCCTGGCTGCTCCAATTCCTATCCAGTTCCCCGCTCATGCATCTAGGAAGGCAGCGGAAGATGGCCCAAGTTCTTGGGCCTTTGCACTCAGGTGGGAGACCCAGAGGAAGCTCCTGGCTACAGCCTGATGAAGTGTTGGTTGGTTAACCATTTGGGGAGTGAAACAGTGGATAGAAACACACACACTCTCTCTCTCTCTCTCTCTAACTCTGCCTTTCAAATAAAATAAATCTTTAAAGAAAAGTCTTCTGAGTAAATACCCAGAAGTAGCAATGCTAAGCTGCTAGTTCAATTGTATTTTTTGCCTTGTTTTTGTTTTTGGGATATCAATATTGTTCTCTAAAGTGGCTGTGCAAATCTACATTCTCACCAATAGTTTGCAAGATTACCTTTCTCCGCATTCTTGCTAACACTTATTTCTGCTTTTTTGATAATAGTCATGCTGATAAATGTGAAGCAATATCCCATTGTAGTTTTAATTTGGATTTCCATAGTGATTAATTATGTCAACTATTTTATATTTGTCAGCCATTTGTACATCTTCTTGAAGTAAATGCTATTCAGGCCTCTTGTCCATTTATTACATTGGGTTATTTATTTTTGTAGTTTTGAGTTCCTTATATCTTATACTTACCACTTATCAGATACATGGCTTAAAAATATTTTCTCCCAGTCTGTAGACTGTCTCTTCATTCTATTTTCTTTGTTGTGCAGAATCTTCTTATCTTGATGTAATCCTATTTGTCAGTTTTTCCTTTTTTTCCTGTGCTTTTGGGGCTAAATCTAAGATGTCACTGCCCGGAAGAAAGTAATAGTTTTTACTGTTTTCCTCTGAGAGTTCTAGATTTTAGGTTTTAGTTTGCAGTCCAACTTGAATTGATTTTTGTATACGGTGTGAATAAGAGCCCAACTTCATTCCTCATGTGAGTATTGTTTTCCCAACACCATTTGCTGAATATACTGTCCTTTACCTATACGGGTACTTGGAAATCTTGTCAAATCCACTGGTCACACATTACAGGGTTCCTTTATTGGCTCTGCATTCTGTTCATTGGTTGGTAAGTATACTTTCTGCTAGTACCATAGCCACTGGGTCCATTTGAGGAGTAAACCAGTGGATGGAAGATAGCTTTCTCTGTTTCTGTCTCTCCCTTTCTCTCTATAACTGAGTTTCAATATCATGTTTACTGATTTGCATATGTTGAACCATCCCTGCATACAAGGAAGAAATCCCACTTTGGGTGAATGATTCTTCTGATGTGTTTCTGAATTCAATTAGTTAGTATTTTATTGAGAATTTTTGCATTTGTTTTTATCAGTGATACTGGTCTACAGCATTCTTTCATTGTTGTATCTTCTTGTTTGTTTTGGAATTAAGGTGATGCCTACTTCATAGAAGGAGTTTGGCAGTATTTCCTCCCTTTTAATTGGTTTGAATAATTTGAGAAGAATTGGAACTAGTT